GGCTCCATAATCACATCTGACCTATTTGGCATCCATTATACGTTTGAGGTTAGGATTACGGTACCAGTTAATGGTTTCCTTTAGGGTAAAGTTTTCGGGTTACGGTTAGGGTTTGAGCGTACGATTATGTTTCAGCATTACGGTTAGGTTTTGCAGTTACGGCTGTGCCTAATGGCTACGTTTACGTTTACGATTTCGGTTAGTTTTAGGGTTGCCGTGAGGGTTAACGGTTAACGCTTTAGGTTGAGGCTAGGGTTAGGGGTTTAGGTTAGGATTAGGGTTAAGGTCGCCGTCTGCTTCCCCATTCCTGGCTACCAACTGCGATCTAGCCAGCCTGCTATTCTGCTCCTATCAATTATAACGAACATTTCATCTATGTATCAGCGTCAAAACGCAGGTTCATAGTGGTCGGAGGTGACTATTTTCAGCTCCTGTAAGACTAGTTCCGCAACCAGGCTGGATATTAGCGAACCCATCGGTGTTCCATTGATTTGCTCGTATGTTCTACCATTGTAGGTGAAAAAAAGGTTTGTTGGCAGAAAACAAGGGGTTTCAGTAAGTGGTCGATTTTCAAACGTCTGTTCGTTTCTTCGTAGTTTTCTTCGGGTCGTTTACGTAGAACGTCGCTTGCCAGGTTCGGTAGAAGGGATTTGAAGAATGAAACCACGTCCGAGGATAGCATAATCTGGTCAAGTCGGATAGTTTTTTCCTCAGATGTCCGCCAGAAATTGTGAGGCCGAATGGATGGAGGCCCTCGAGCCTTCTTTGGGAACGTTACGTTTACGGGCAATCCATTTGGCTAGATTGTAAGTGGGGCTGCCTCTCAAGACAACGATCGGTCGAAGGAATGCATTTGGCTTGTGGATTTTGGGTAATCAATAAAATAAACGGGCAATCCGGGGAGGCGACCCGTTATCTCAAGTCGCCACTCGCACCCTGGAAGAAGGCCACGCATTCAACTTCGCGAGCACGCGAAGAGTGGCGCGGGTCAGCACTAAGACAGGGCGAGAACTGCTGGAGGCCTGTGTGTCTGACATCAACTCCCCTCCCCCCATCGCGCGCTCCGTTCCTGCGGCCAAGAGGCCTGACCCAATTTCCGCCAAGGGTGCATGCACTCACGCTGCCGTGAGC